GCTGGCAGGTGATGGAAGACTGGAATGGCCAGCAGAAACTTGTGCTGTCTCCTTGCTCCAGGGGACAGGGACAAGGAGCAGACAGCTCTCTGTCAGCGGGACGACTCTCCAAGGCCATTCTCAGGAAGCCTGAAGGAAAGCAAGCTGTGGACGGGGAGGAAGGGTCGTCTGGGAACAACGGGAGAGGGTGTTTGTCCTCGCTTTGTTCTCCATTTCATCACAGCTGTGCGGGAGGAAAGCAGGCAGGGCAGGGTGTGTGTGCATATGTGTGAGTGTGTGCGTGTGCATGTGCATACCTCAACCTTCATCTCCATCTCCATCTCTCCTGGAGGAAGCCAGATCCCCTACATGTGAGCGGCCCTGTGGAGGGGCCCACATGGTGAGGACTTGACGCCTCCTGCTGCCAGCCACACACGGGAGATTACAGGTAGATTTCCAGCCCTGGGATGAGGTGGCCACAGCTGACATCCTCACTGACCCCACGAGAGCCCTGAGTCAGAGCTGCCCAGCCAGGCTGCCCCTGGGATCCTGACCCACAGAGACCAGAAAATAAACACTTACTGCAGTAGCTGCTCAGTGTAGGGGTCATTTGTCACCCAGCAGGAGAGAGATCCCTCCTCAGAGCCTCTCCACTATCCCCCCGCTTGGCAGCCTTCACTCAGGGCCCCTGGAGCCGTCTCACGCCTGTTTTCTGTCTCTGCCTTTCTTGGTAGGAGAAAGCCCCCGTGACGACAGGGGATTTGTTAGGTTCACTGTAGGGTCCCCACATTCCAAGACAGTACAGAGGCTCCTTGACAAATGGCTGAGGTGCAGCAATGCGGCAAACCAGCAGCCCCATCACTCTGATGTCCCGTGTCTGAGAAGCCAGAATATGACAGGGAACAAGCACGAGCCCTGAGTCAGTCCTTCCTGGTCCCAGCCCCAAGCAGCATGAGTCACCCAACCTGTAGGAGCCTCGGTTTGCTAGTCTGTGGATCAAGGATGATAGTAACAGCTGGAAGTCAGGCCAGTGTGCACTGTGGAGGCTAGGGGCTCTGAGAGCCAGTGCTCCTGGGACAAAGAGGGAGCTTCCTGCTGTCCCCTATTATAGCACAATAGATAACTGAGCCTTCAAGGGGCCTTCGGAGGGTGAAGGTACAACTGATCATGTTGTTCACTCTTATTTCACTTCTCTGGTGGACCCTGCAGGCTGATTCACTCAACACACTCAATGTGTGCCGAGCCCCTCCTTCTGTGCTTGGCTGCATGGGAGTCTCTGGAAAAAACTGAAACCTGCATCTCCCTGACTCCCTTGCAGCCAGGGTTCTGCCAGTGGCCTCAGCTCCTCTGGACAGATGCCTGCATGAGGTTTAAAAGGTGGAAGTGAGCTCCCCAAGGTGGTGGAGGATGGGGCTCCTGGCTGGCAGGGGACAGAGGGTCCGGTTCTCCCACAGCAGCACGCTCCAGTGTCTGGGCCTGAGCATCACAGGCAGTGGGGTTTCCACGGCAACAGTCGAGGGCGGGCTTACTGATTGTCCAGGTGAATGTTAGTGTTGTCCGTGGCCATGGGGCATCCAAGCTTGGTCCCCTGGTGGTCCTGGCATCTCAGTCCTAGCACCCATGAACAGATTCCCCTCTGCTCGAACCAGAAAGAATGGATTCTGTCGTCTGCAACTAATCACTGAGACAGGCACAAGTTCAGATTCTGAAATCACCTCTATTGTTTGTCTCGTGTGAAAAAAATACAGGAAAGTTTAAGAAAAATAAGTAAAAATCTTCTATAATCCCACTGCCTGGAAGTAATCACTGTAATATTTTTGCATGTTTCCTTCCGGACTTTGCATTCTATCCGTTTTGTTATGGGGTCAAAATGACGGTTTATATCATCCTATGCGAGCTTTGCTCACTCAGCAGGGAGTGTAAAACCGTCCCAGTCACCTTGTCCACGAGGCCTGCAGCAGCTTTCTAAACTAAGTCAGTTTCCTCTTTACCCACTCTTACTTTTTTTAAACCATATTCTAGAGGTATAATCGACATGCAAAAGCTGTGCATATTTAACACACACAATTTGATGACTTTGGAGATGAGTATTCATCTGTGAAAGCATCACCACCATCTATGCCATGAACGTATCCATCACCTCCAGAAGTTTCCTCCACCCTTTTTATTTATTATTGTGTGTGTGTGTGATAAGAATATCTAACATAAGGTTTACCCTCTGAGCAAAGTTTTAAATACAACACCCAGCACTAGTACCCAGAGGCACAGTAGCTCACCAGGACATGCTCACCTTGAGTAACTGACACTGTACCCTTTGACTGATACCTCTCCATTTCCCCTTTCCCCAGCCCCTGGCAACCACCACTCTACTCTCTTCTTCTGTAAGTCTGACTGTTTTACATGCCTCCAGTAAGTGGTATTACGTAGTATTTCTCCTTCTATGTCTGCCTTCCTTCACTTAGCATAACGTCTTCTAGACTCACCCAAGCTGTTAGAATGGCACGATTTCCTTCTTTTTTCAAGGATGAATAATATTCCATTGTGTGTGGCTAGTGGCTACCATGTGGGAACTCACAGTTCTAAAAAACAAACTAAACATCAAGAACAATTGCCCCAGGAGAAATTAAGGCAAATATCAAACGATCTGCAACCCAGAACAAAATAGGGACATTAAAAAAGCCCTAAATATTAAGGACTGTGGGCCTTATTCTTCGTTCATCCAACAAGCATTTATTAACTACCTTCTCTGAGCATGTCATGGGCCTCAACATCGGAGAGGACACAAACAGCCCGGGAGAGGCACGTCATATTTCATTTACTAATTACAGAATGAATTCAAGGCACTCAAAATTAAGCCTCAAATAGCGTAGAGAAGGCTAACTCCAGCCTCTAGTGGCTGTGCTTCAAAATTCCACTTGCAAGTCAAACACACTGCACATAAAATGCATTTCCCCACAGCGGCAGTTTGTAGAGCATGGTTAGGTGTTTAAATTGGCTCCTAAAAGTTGACTGGACCCATAATAAAACTGAAATATTACAGAGTTTCAATTTTAAGTCTAAAATCAAAACCATGAGTTTTGTTTTTCCAACAGCGTAACATTTGAATAAACATACTCAAACATGTTTTTAATGGACACACGGTCCTTAAGGCCTTCAGCATGGCTGACCAGGCTTAAAGCTCAGCCTTATTTAAGCCACTGAAAGTCTAAAAGGAGGAATAAGCTGGAATGCTGACCTCAAAGCCAGATGCACTGTGGGCCTAGGCTGACGAGTGATCTTCAGCCCCAAAGAGGAAACTCTATTTTCAGACTTTCTTCCTCTCGGAGTCAAAATACTTTCCCTCTGATTAAGAGGTGAGATGAAGAGGAAAACAGAAGTCCTGACAACAGATGGGGGATCTGGATTCCTAGGGGGGGATGAGCAAGTAAGGGATGCCACAACATAAAGGGAGAGGCAGGATACAGCAGAGTGAGTCCCAGAGCCAGCAGGGGGCCAGCCTTGCTTGACTGGGGAAGGGAAGGCAGAGGGACTAAGAGTAAGAATAACGGGGCTGGAGGGAGGGTTGGTGCTAGGGGTACTGAGTATTTAGGGACAAGGAGAACTGAAAGGAGAGGCTCAGGATAGCATCCTCATTTGAATCTAAAGGTCCCATTTAAGGGCATTTGAGAACAGAAAACTGCTGCTGCTAATGATGATGGTGATAATGGTGATGACAGATAGCACCTAAGAGTTGACATTTACCATTTTCTACATAAGACAAACTGTTCAAAGTTATTCACATATATACTGTTATGTAATCCTCATTTAAGGGGAAAGGTCTCCATGCAGTGGAGAGTTCTGAACAGAACGCTGAGGAAAGAGTCGGAGAGCCAGAAAGGAGGGGAGGGGACTTGCCAAAGAAGGAAAACAAAACACACTTGTTGGCACTTTAACTTTATCCAATATACTCTGTCAGTTTTAACAACCATTCCTTTCTTATTTGGTCTCAGACCAAATAACTAAGACTACACCTGTCTTTCTAAAACCAAGGGCCAGACTCTCACTGGAGGCTCAAACAATATTTGTAGATAACGATAATGACACGCTTTTAGAGCCCAACAAACCTGAGTTCAAGTCACAGTCTGAGGCTCTTAATAGTTCTTAACCGTTAGTAGTTGACCTTGGGCAAATTATTTTTTAACCCTTCTGAATGCTGTCTTTATCATTCTCACAAAGGAGAATGAGCTAAAAAAACTATCAAAATGTCCTAAGTATCCACTGCCCACCTCTCACAAACCCACTTTCTCCTTGCCAGAAAGCTCCACAGAAAGCAAAATAATCCCTCTCCCAAAAAAACAAAAACAAAAAATCCTCATCACACACCTACCCTCTTCTGAGAAATCAGGAGAACTCAGCATGACCCACCAACAGGAACTAAGATTGGTACTGCGACACTGTGCCCCTTTCTCACCCTCCAAATGTGAGAGGAGTCACAAACAGAAGCTGTGCCCTGCTCCCTTCCGTAAAGAAAGCCCAGCCTGACTCTGGCCTCAAACTGCACCAACCACTCCTGAGGATGCAGAGGATGTCTCGAATTTACCCAGCCCTCCCAAGGTGATAACAGCTACCATCTACCATGCACGCAAAAGATCCAGTTTGAAACTGAGGATTTCAAAACAAAGTATCGAAATAGCGTCAGCATGGTCTCCGTGAGGTGGGTCATTTACCAACTCTCTGACTCCTTTTCACTCCCAGGAACATCGCAGGATCCACGATATTGGAAAAAATGGAGGTATGAACAATACAAACTAACAAACAGCACAACATTCCCCTAAGTCCTCTGGCTCTGGAACACGTGACATTCACAGAGGTTGTCTCTCCAGCTCTGGGTCACCCAGAGCAGTGCAGCCTCATCTACTCACTTGCAGCTTGGGCTTGGCTAGAAAGACCCCATCACGGTGCCCATGGCGTGCAACCGTCTAGCTGCACAGGGCCCCCACAGGCAGAAGGGCCCCACACTTGGTTGTTGTTGCTGTCTTGAAATTCTTGACAATTAATCATTATTAATAATTCTTAACAAGGGGCCCTGCATTTTCATTTATATTGGGTCCCATAAATTACGTAGCTGCTCTGGTACTGCCTGACTCAGAAGAGGAGTTCAATTCACAGCAGCAACTTGTCAGCTGTGGGGGCAGCCAACACACCAGGTGGCTTAGGGTCAGAACTAACAACTAGTTAGAAAACACACTAGTTTTCAACCTTGGGAAGGAAGGACTTGACCCCACACTACTCCCTCAAAAACCAAAAACAAAGTGGTGATTGCAATTCCATTTGAAAGATGGAATAATTAAGCCAGTTAAGCCTAATTTCCGCTGGTTCTATTACCCCAGAGGGGGAAGCCATCGGGTGCTCACTTAGGGAGACACTAGGTGGTAGTGCTGTTAGTTCCAGCCACCCAAGGAGGGTTGGGTTAGGAGGCAGCGCACAGCAACCACTTCCAGCATAAAGGAAGAAGCACAAGGAGGCACACTCACATCAAGGAGTCAGTCACCCTAAGTAGAAAACGCAGGACATGAATGAAGGTCAACACCCAGGGTCAACCAAAAATTCAGTGAGGAGAAGCACTTCCGTGTGTGTGTTTTACAGAAAAACTGAGCATCTAAGACTTACTTTTTTAAAAATTAGAGACTTTTTTAAGAAGTAACAAACCACTTCTAAATTCTTTCTTCTGGTTAGGACAATTCTTCACAGGAAACCAAAACTCTTATTCTAACACTTAAACAAGTAAAACTGCTATAACTGCTTTCAATTCTTTAGTTTATCTAAAGATTTCAACAAATGGCGGGGGCACGAAGTGCAGACCCTCCCCCCGCTGCTGCAAATGCCCCGAACACCCCAACCCCCAAGGAAGGCAGAGCCAGGGCTCCCTGTTACGCCCGCAATTCCAGAGAGGAATTTCAAAGGTCAGGTCTCTAGCACCATCAGGAAACTTGGGTAACAACTTGAGAGAGAAAAGCCCCTGATGCTGGAAATCTAGGGCCAAAAACAGCAAACTCAATCAGGTAAAAGTCAACCAAGTTAATTGCAATGAAGCAATTCAAATTAGCTTTTCTTTCTAATGGTTCTATAAAACAGACACTTTAGACAGGGTCCCATTCATTACCTGCCATATTCCAAAAGTGTAGCATGGATTCGAGATTCTTCATCAAGCAGCTCCTCTGCTCCCTGCTGGCGTTTGTATTTCCGACGGGGCTTGTAAACATCCTAAGAAGTGGAGGAGACAGGGCAGTTACTGCCTGTGAGAAGGCTCCCCTCCTGAGCTGGCTGCCAGATGCGTCCAGTCAGGCAGGGAGCGAGCCCTTCCCCATCACGGCGAGTGCGCAGCTCTCCTGCGGGTCCACAGGGCGCACTCAGGGTCACTGCCTTCAAGGAGTCTGCTCCTTTGACTTCCGTACAGGTAGAAGTATTTCCATCCAATCTATTGTGTGCCAACTTTGTTTCAACTTGATGGGTTTTTTTGGTCCTATGACATATTCATATTTTATGTAGTCAAAGATATTAATCATTTTTTATCTTACTTCCTATCCTAGGGATTGTGAAAAAAATTCTGGTATCTTACTTTTGTAATTTAGATTTAGCTCTTTCATCCATCCAGGTTTTCTTTTTTTTGGTACAGTGAAATGTAGGGATATTTTTTCAGAATGGAAAATTAAGAATCCCAGCATTATCACTGTAATAGTCATTCTTCCCTGATTTGAAATGGCATGCATATTTAACATAGGCCAATATTATCCTCTTCAATTGCTCTTGCTTTATGAGTCTCTATCATGTCTCCACTGTCCTTTTTCAAATTTCCTGACTATTCTTACACATTTTCTCTTCCAAATGAATCACAGCATCAGCTTGTCAAGTTCATTATGGAAAGCTATTGTTTTGATTAGTATCACCTCTAATTTATAGGTTTCTTCGGGAAGAACCAACATCTTTATAATACTGAGTGTTGCACTGAGAAACAAGGTTTCTCTCTCTATTGAAATCTTTTTTATTCCTTAATAAAATTTTCCAGAAAAAACACAAATTTTGCACAGTCACTACATATCCAGACCTTTCCACCACCCAGAGTGGCAAACCAGTTCAACAATCACAGACATATATATGTTAACGCAGAATCCTTAAAAAAAAGGCCTGAAATGGCAAAGGAGATGTCAATTCTTAGGCTCTAATACAAGAAAAGGAGAGTGGATACAAATCCTTCAGAGATACATATCATGTTGCATAAAAGTGTTTCGAGGTTTATCCTCAAAAAAATGTATGAAAACATAAAATGCGCTATAAATTTTCACTGACTTTTTAAATTACTAGAGTGTGATTTGGTTATAAATGCAGAAGAAAATATAGATCTATTTTGTGTAGGCCACCTTCTGAAACTATATATCTACATATATATCTACATATACATCTCTTTTATATATATATCTTTTCTCTTTCTCTCTCTCCCTATCTTCTAAACAAACCATACGGCATGTAACAGGTGCTCAATTAATGTTGGTCTTCACCTCCAGATAACCTGGTTTGTCATTCTACCCCAAATAAATGTCCTTGTTGACTGCCAAGCTAGCAGTCAAATAATACCTTAGTGATATTTTCTCAAGGCTCTGGGTACAACTAGGCAGCTGTTTACACAACCAAGGTATTCCATTTCTTTCTGGACCTTTTCTTCTCCACCACAGAGTTCAACACATCTAATCTTTACCCGGACAACACCAAGACAAGTGTTATTGTTAGGCTTCTCCAGATTGTGGCATTTTTATTCAAATAAGAATTGTTCCCCCCTTGATAATTCTAGTTAATTTTATTATTTTACTTTTTATTATGAAAAGTTTCAAACATACAGAAAAACATTTGTTCTACAACACATACTACAGAATCTCAACAATTTTGTAGAAAACGAATGGAAAAGAGTCTGGGATGATGCTGAAGGTTGTTCTTATAATTGCTGCCACAAACATTCCCTAGTTTGCTGCTAGTGTCTACATGAACAGGAAACTATAAATAACATAAAACAGATTTATAGGGAAAGGAAAATATAATTAACCCCTATGATGTCACTTACTGTGTATGGTTTAATTTCCATTGAGCTCGACTACTGTAGCAGTGCCATATAATTGAGCTTAACTGCTATCTTCCTTAGTTACCACAGTCAATGAGCTAAGACAGGAAACTGGATTCTTCCAAAGAAGACTGACTCCAAAACGAGAGCATACTGACACCAACAGCTACAAAGACCTTCCATTCTGGCAAACAATGACAACGTTGGCCTTTATGTAATCACTCCTTATACTTTAAAGCACCCCATATGCACCTCACCTTTTGCATTTTATAATTACTCTATGAAGTACAGGCAAGGCAGATGCTGTTACCTCCACGTTACTACTGAAGAAGCAGAGATTAAATAATTTGTCCAGGATCTCTAGAATAGTATCAAGCATAGCCCTAGGTACCCTGGCTGCCAGTCCCAAGGTTTTTCCACTACACTAACTTGCCTCTGGTGGGCATTCTAGTCCCCCACCAGCCATTTCCGCTGAGCCCCCTCACAAGACTCACTGCACAAGGTGAGGCTGCCACATGGATCGTTACAAGGGTTTGCTTAGGGACCTAAATGTTATAGAGGTTTCCAGGCCAACTGTAAAAGAACTACTGCCGAGTCACCCTTCGAAGCAATAGGAGGCAGGAACACTGATGTCTAGTCCCATCTCTGCCACTAACTAGCTCTATGACCTTGGGAAAGGCAGCTCCTCTCATTGGGCCTATTTCTTCATCTGTAAAATG